ATGTTTACTATTTCTGAAACTGGGAGTGAAATTGTGAAATCATCTTGTATTGCTTGAACCATTTGAGGTAAAAGAGGTTTCCAACACGCATTAAGCGTTGATGGTTTAATTTCCGCGCAAGCCGATGACAGGGTTCTAATACAATCTAAAATAGAAAATTCCATCCACACTTGAGTAAGAGTTTTATTTTCACTATTTTCTAATCTGTCGAAAATGGTTTGGAAAAGTTGGCGTGTGTAGTACGTTTTTAAAGTTTGAATGACTCCTTGGTCCAAAGGTTGTATTAATGACGTGCAGTTAGGAGGAAGGAAGACAATTTTCACATTTGGATGATCCAGTTCTATGTTGTGGCAACCAGCGTTATCAATAACCAATAAAACTTTGAAATACAAATTTTTTTGCATCGTATAGGTTTCCACTGCCGGGATAAAACAATCATAAAACCAATCCTTAAATAAATCTTGAGTCATCCAAGCTTTCTTATTAGATCGCCAGAATACAGGCAATTGGGTCTTATTAATGTTTTTCATTACACGGGGACTTGAAGAACGATTTATTATCATTGGTTTTATCATCAGGCACCCTGATAGATTGCTGCACACATGAAGGGTGATACGTTCTTTTGAAAGTTTAAACCCCTCAGCACGCCTTTGATTTTTCAGAATGAAGATCCTAGATGGTAGCTTTTTCCAATATAATGCCCTCTCATCAGCGTTAAAAATCTGATCAGGTGAATAACCTCATTCATTGATAATTCTAGCCAGTTCCAGCTTATAATTTTCGGCAGCCTCAGCATCTGCTGAGGCCTGTTCTCCTTGAAACTTAATATTGTGCAATGTGTACCTTTTTTTTAGCTTTTCGAACCATCCTTTACTCGCGACAAACGAATGTTTTTCTAACCCTGCATAAGAATGCCCAATATTCCTTAAATGTTCGTAGATTTTAAGTGCTTTCTGCTTGATAAGATTTCCACTGATAGGAATCTTTTTGGCTATACAGTCTTCCAACCAGATCATTAACGCCCGTTCCATTTTAACCATATTAGAATTTCGTGTGCGAGTAACACGTTTCGCACCTAGCGGACAGCCATCTGGCACAGTTTTCCTTATATTATCTGCATTTTTCTTTAAGGTTCGAATTGTAGATTCATTCAAATTTATTGATTTTGCAACAGACGATTTAAAATTTGGGTTTTATCTTCAAGCGATATAAACTTTCTTTTTAATCCTTTCCTTGTTTCTTTTGTGTTTGACATGATGCAAATCTAGGGTAATTAATTATTTTAATAAAATTAATTACTTTATTATTATTATATTAGGACAACTTAAGAATATTACTTATCGTATTGTGTAATGTTGTCCAATTATAAATCACAAATTAAGAAGCTAAAAGCTGAACGAACGGAAGGTGTAGAAAATTTTTTAGAAAGACTTGTCACCAACAAAACGTATGTACTGTGAAAGATCTCTGAAATGACTGAAACCGATGTCGTAAACGGCTATGAGATAAGCTGGCATGTTTATATAAACATATTGTTTATGTATCTCGGCTGTGCTTTTGCGTTGAAAATAAAACTTACATTAAAACCTCTTACAATATCTAGTTACTAGAGTCATTCATAGGCTGTGTGGAAGGGACTTATGGGATTCAGTTAAACGGAAACCGCGCTGTAAGAGTACCGCGTTATGGGAGGGCTGTCGCAATTTCAGCTCCGCGTTATATAGGAACCGCGTTCTGAGAGTACCGCGTTATAGGAGGGTTGACGTACTTCATTTTCTTGTACTAGATTGTATATCGCTAAATTTCGTCAACTATTTCAGTTTTTGATATGATATGGAGACTTTGACATATTTTCTTAGTGAGTAGTGAGTGTTTAAATGATATATACATTTTTCTGCTCCTGAGTTTCCCACGGATTGGTGAGGAGTGGTCCTGGAGCTAGGAGATTTTAATATTTTAACAGGGGGTTTTCACTGCTAAGAGCAGTCGACATTTTGTCCACACGGGACTGACTATTTCAGTCAGACGAATTAGAGCCTAATCTTGCATCGATTTTTATTTTTTTAACCGCGGAATTAGATGAGTTTCGTGGAAGGCGGGGGAAATGGTTATTATTTTCCTGCAGAAGATCTAACACACTAAATTTATTATTACATAAAACCGAAGCTTAAGAAGATTTCGTAAATTTATTTTTATATTTTTTCCTGGAGGGTTTTAAATACCTCGTATTTTTTATCATTCGCGAGATGATTTTTTGAACAATTTACGCAGACAGGCTGCGAAAACTTAAAATCTTTGATAAGATGCTCCTTTCCGCACTTAAGGCAACGTTGTTTGCCATGGCGTTGTGCAGAAGAGTGAGAAAACCTCTTTCCGACACCATTTCCAAACTGTCTGATCCGGGGTATATAAGGATGAACCGTAAGTCGTGATGTTATCTGACAGATATTGTCTTGACAAAGTAACCACACACGTTTGATGCGGCGTGATTTGAATTGATCGCCGTTAGTTAAGTATTTTTCATTTTTTCTGTTAAACGATAGAGGACAAATTAGACAGAATTTCTTCTTCTGATAACTAAAGATAACATTTCGAATTATTCCCACTTTTTTGACTAGGACGTCCGGAATGTACTTGTTCTTTCCACAGATTGTGTCTTTCTACCAGGTAATCCGCGATTTCTTTATTACATGTTATTCTGTTTTTTCCGTTGACCCTTATTTGGAAGATATTGCTGAGATTGAGTTTCGTGTCCCAAAATAGCCACTTGCCAAACAGCAAGGGGTGATCGTAAATTATGTTTTTAACTTCGCCTTCGACAAACACCAATAAGGGGCCTTTATCATTCTCTGAAAACCTATTTTTACGTATGCGAAATTTCCTCTTGTAAGGGCATTTTGCTCCAGAATTTCGTACTCGGACCGTATACTTTTCTTGGAATAAGATTGATTCTCTCTACCGATAAGATCGGAAACATTCTCATCATCGTGGTATAGAAAGTGCTTTCCTCTTTCATTATTTAGTCAAAAGGAATAGAAGTAGTGGAAGAGTTTTGCGAATTTTTAAGTTTTTTGTTAGGGGCTTCGGATGACGGGGTCCCTCACCATCCTGTGAGAGGAAATATCTATTAAAAATATTTAAGATGTAATTACTAACTTTCTGCTATAAGAATATAGAAAAAGAAAATAATGATTTGAGAAGAGAAAGAGAGAAAAAAGCAAAGAAAATAATTGATTGTGCTTGGCGTAAACAAGCTAAATCCGAAGAGTACTAAAAACATGTCTACTCTGGGCAGAGTTCAGATTGATACTGGATTTTACTCGATCCGCACCCTTAAAGTTTCAGGTGGGAAATAGGACATTTTGGATAGGACAAGGTGATGGGTTATTGAACTTCACTATAGCCTTCGTGTCGAATGTCACGTAACTTTCCTGGTGCGGAAACTTGCTTGCTTTGGACTCAAAAGATTGAAATCATTTGCAGACGAGTCTCAACTACTATTATACAAATTATTATTAAAATTACAATTATGATGTACAGGAATACAATCCACCAACTTGGGTTAGTATAGATTGTAGGAATTGTGAGAATTACATTTAGAGGGCTGCTGGAAACGTTTTTCAAATGAAGTCTTTTGAGGGGGCGGTATTCTGAAAGTTGCTGCGGCGAAAGAATAAGGTATTTAATTGTTACAACTGTATATCTTATATTTAATCGGGACAAATTACATGTTAAATAGTTCAAAACGATATTCAGAACAAATTGTAAGTTGCTTGAAATAAACTGTTTGATCCACTTCAACATTACAATATATTTTCAACATATTTTTATAATTAAGGATATTATTAACATGATCATCTAACACATTTTATTTGGCATAATAATTCTCTAATGTCTTTAATTCTGAAAACAATTCATGTATTTGACTGCCAATTTGGCTGCAAAATTTTTGGACTTGTCCGAAATATTGTAGGCTTTCAACATTACGTGATCACCCAATTTAAATTCGATATTTATATGCTTTCGGTCGTACTGCCTTTTACTTAATGCTTTGGTTCTTTCTATATTTTTTAACGCTATTTCCCAGTCTGCACTTATGGGTTTCGTGTCTACCGTATAGTCAATTTCCCACTGGAGTTCTAGGGGCGTATGAAGTTTTCTGCCAAGAAATAATCGCGACGGAGTAAATTTTGTCGAGGAATTTTCGGCATTATTTAGCGCGAGCTGTAAATATTTTAATCCCTTTGACCATTCGGATTGATTATTAGCATAAAAGGCGATAAGGGCAGTTTTTAGAGCTTTTAAAATCCGTTCGGCTCTGCTCGGATTCGGGTAAAAACGGATTACATACTTTTGCTTCATACCGTGTTGTAAAATAAATTTGGTATATGTTCTCGAACGAAAAATTGGAGCATTGTCCGATACTACATAATGCCAATATCCGAAACTTTTAAAAATTTTTCTCAACTCCGTTGTTACCGCTTCCGCTGTAGCTTTTCGAACCGAGGACAAGAAAACAAACCGAGAAAAGCTATCGATGGCAACGAAAATGTAGGAAAATCCGTTACTTTTAGGTAAAGGTCCGGCAAAGTCTATAAACAACCTTTCACCTGGGGTAGTTGCTTCGAAACATTCTTGGGGGAATTGCGGTTGTAATTCCAAATTTATATCTGGAATGTGAGCTGTTCTGATGGTTCCAGCTCTCCTTTTGATTTTTATTTCAGCCGTTGGATTGGCATTAAAACGAGCCATACTTGAGTATTAGAGATTAAAGATTTAATCGAAATACTTAGACTTGGTAGGCCTGTTAATTTATTTAAGTGTTTTTTCAGTTCTCTTTTGATCTCCTCTGGTATAACATCTCCATGTTCTATCATTTTAATATAGATGTAGATAGCATTTTTTTCCTATGCATCCTCTGTTTCTAGTAAAAACCTATGTTCTATTTCCTGCACTTTGTCCATGACCTCAGATTCTGCAACTGTGATACCTGAACTGACCTATTGTCTCACGTAATATGGTACGTATGCTGCGATGTTCATGGTATTAATCATACCTGCATTAGAGAATAAACGGGCATTGCATGCTCGTGTGTCTCCAAGGAATGTCCCTAAGCAATATGTGAAGTTGTAGATCGCTGGGTTCGCTGATGAAGAATATGGACTTTTTTGACTGAGTTCAAAATCCCTCATGTAGTGGAAGTATGAATTAGTATCAATTGCTTCTCTGTGTTCTTCAGTTAATCTTTCGACTTCTGGACTAATGCGAGGATCCATGGCGTAAGCTAAAGCTTGGTATGTTGTTAGGCCAAGATATTTACCTAAATCTTGTACAGCTGTTAATCCCCCACAGTCTCTGTTTCTGGATGAGAGAGTCGTTACTTTGATTTTGGCATAAGGGCTATTTCTGAACTTATTGTAGAACATATCCACGGCGGCTACAACTTTTCGGAAATTCTCGTCAATAGCCCATGGTACCTTGGCCAATATGGAAGATGTATCCATGTTTCGGAGATAAAAAGGATTGTCTGCTAAAATAGTTTTTATTTTAACCAAGCTTCTTTCCTGATAGTCTCCTGGTGCCTGTGCTGCAGTAGCGGTTCTGTAGATGGCCAAAAGTTCCCCTATGCGGCTAAGATCATATTTTGGTCTAACGCTTTGCTGGAATGTTGGGGTTTTCTTCCTGGTGCCCTTGTTACCTCTAATAAGGAAAACGGATTGATTGTTTCTCCTGCTTCTCCTATAGTAACTCCGTAAGACACCCAGGCCGTGGTTAGTTTTTCTACAAACCTGGTTCTGATTGTTTCATATAGAAATTCTAGACTGGCATCTATATAAATCTCTGGACCCCATGCATCACTCTAAGATAATGAGAAGGCACGATGAGTGTCTCCAGGGCCTCGTCGCCGGTCCCCATGGTTCGGGCTATCAGGTCGCAGTCGAAGCTCCCCACCGGGCACCGGACGGGTCCAGTCTCCAGCCGGATGTCGTTTCCGCCGACGAGGATGGGATAGTTGTCCTAGACCTCGCGGTGGCGAATGAGACCGCGGGCGCGTTGGATGCTGTGGCCGATCTTAAGGCTAAGAAATACGGGGTGCTGAGAGAAGCCCTCACGAAGCTGCACGAGAAACGTCCTTTCGTGGCGGCTGTATAGTAGTTGGGGCAAAGGGATGCATTCCTGGGAGCATAAAGGCGACGCTCAAAGACCTCGGCATAAAGGGCTTGCCGAGGCTTCTCTTCACCCTCTCCCTAACGGCCTTGAGATCTTCACTCTCCATTGCCTGCGGCCACATGGAACGGAAGCGGAACTTTTTTTTAGCAACCCATCCAACGACACCAGCTGTTGAGCGAGCTGCCACCGATGTGATTGACTTTGCTAGTTTATGGGACTCACGATTGGTCCTAAGGTGTGTACGAAGGAGGTAAGAAGGCAGAGGCCGGAAAAAGGTTAATTTCAGTTTGAGGTGAGTTGGTAGGGGTATTTTTTCTGGTAAATAGTTCTGTTAAGTAAACAAGTGTTAAGGTGGTAGGATTAAGAAAAAGGGATTAGGATATAGTTAGATAATAAGAAGTAAAGAATGATAATACGAACGGATGTGCTACTACTCAAAGGTAATAAGCACCTGCTTGTGAATTAGAATTAAGGATTAAAATTGTAATATAAAAGTACACGATGTAGGATTAAGATGTAGACATCTGGTTTAGGATATTTTGTAAATATTTAAATGTAAAAAGGATGTGATTAGGGTTAGTTATTCGTACTGTAAATAACGCGAATACTGTGTTGGAGGGAAAAAAATACCCCCTACCAACTCACCTCACCATCCATTCCCCCCGTAACTGCATCGAAGCGTTTCATGCAGTACGGGTCCTATGTTAGTGAACCTGTACCCCTTAGGCGACGGGTACAAACCCTAGGTATTGCCGGGTGGGCGATCAGTGTCACCTAAAAGAATATGTAACATTGGAGTGGAGACGACCAAGCAGTGTCCACAATTGAGGTTGGACTCGTGGTGTCCGTAGGTTTGACAACAATTCGCGGAGAGCTGGAACCGCATAAGGAGCCACCAAACTTCTGCAAGAAATAGGGTGCCTTCCTTATCTTCTTCTGGTAGTGGCGGGAGGGTTAGTCCAAAATGCCACGAACCCCGGTCCTTTTTAAGACCCTTGTGAGGAAGCGCCCCTGCGCCCCTGAAACCGAAGAGTATAGCACCTACCTCTCTCTCTGGCGGAAGGGAAAAAATTCCATGCAAGATATTCAAATATAATGTAATAGGGGATAAAAAACCTAAAGGATCAAATATTGGAGCGACCCTGGAAAATATATTTCGCTTTGTACCAGACCGAGGCTCCAACTCCACCCTAAAATCGAACAGGTCACCGTCAGGAAGCCATCTCAATCCCAATATAGAACAGGAGTCAAATTCGACTCGGGAAACGTCAACTTCACCCTTTTTCAGCTATATAAGAGAATAATACCATCGACTGGACCTGGAATATGAAAACTCTCATCCACTAGGTCAAGTCTACGGAGGAATGATAACTTAGCGACACCCACTACAGCACAAGGCATTTCGTCCACAATTTGATCTACGACCAAAGTGTTGATCGTAAACGAGGTGTTTCGGTCGAATCGTGATGAAAAGGTCAATTTAGTCTGACCACCAACGGACTTGGACGTTCCCCTAAAACCAACTACTGAACATTTCCCCGTCTCAATTGGTAGATTCAATCTAGCACAAGCTGATCTTGTCAGGAAATGCGACTGACTTCCCAAATCCAATAACAATTGAATATCCTGTCTGTTTCCCGTACCATCGTAACTCCTAACGACAACTATCGACAAAAGTACTGTCGAGCTATCATCCACATGGAACCCGTCCGAGATTGCTAATGAACAGAGACTCACTTGATTTTCCTCAGAACAAGAATCTGAAAGTTTCTTGTCTTTCGAAGCTGGAAAATGTAATAACGAATGGTGTGAAAGTTTGCACTTGTTGCATGATATTCGGCTATCACCATCACGCGCTTGATGGTCTGGGGAAAAACAACGAAGGCATAAAAATTTATTTTTTAGTAATTGAAATCTCTCCCAAGGAGACAGTTTTCGGAATCGGGAGCATTCTCCAAGGCCATGGCCTGCTCCACAATTCGGACATCTGAGATCCTCCAGGCCTCCTCTAGGCTCAGCGACGAATGCATATGTGGGTCGGGAAGTTCGCTTTGAGGGTCCCGAAGGTTTCGTCTCAATTCGCGAATCGAATGGCATGGATTTTATTTGTTTTTGGAGAAATTGTACGAACTCCTTGTATGTAGGAACATCTTCTGAACGGTACGCCTCTTCGAATGAACGCCTAGTCCGTGGATCCACAATGGACAGGCCCCAATTAAGAAAAATAAAGTCTGCCACGTCCTCGAGGCCGATTTGCTGAGAGCTGCAATGGGGGTACAGAAATTGTCCAAAACCGTAGTTAATCCTTCTTGAGAAAAGGCTTGAAATTAAAAACCTGTTCTAAATATCCGTTTGCTAATGACCTTTTGTCATTAAAACCGTCTAATAAAGCATCCCAGATAACTTTGTAATTGTTCGCGGTCGAAGTCAACCCCTGACAAACGTTTAAGGCCGGGTCCCATAATCTCGATACTAAACGAGTCACTTTTTCCAAGTCCGAGAAGTCGACATTCTTGTGGACCAAAGTGGTTAACAACTCACAAAAACCGGCCAATCCTGTGGTGTACCATCAAAGTAAGGGAGTTCTAGTCGCTTCAGTCGTACTACCGGCTCGGACTTGGGCACTAAACTTGTGCCTTCATGTCCGGACTTGTTAGAATGTTGCTAAGCAACTGATGCAATAAGTTCTAGCATTTCCGACAAGTCGGTGAATTTTGGAGTAAAATCCTTGTCTAATTGTAACCTCTTCTATTTCGTTGGAATCATGCAGTGAGTAGTCTGAAAGTAGCTCCAGTTTTTTCCTTCGTCCATCTTTTTCCCGAACTCGTACCATCTCTTTACCCTAAGCAACAACTTTTCTCTTTTAGCGGTTAGTATTTTTAGTAAGTTTTCCAGTTTGGACTTCTCCATTTTTTTAAATTTATTGTTAGAATGATTATAGTACTGACTCACGATTACGAAGATCAAGAAATCGCCGAACGAACGAAAATGAATAAATTTAATTAAATTAATTTAATCAATGTAAGGAAAATTAATTCGACAACCCAACTGATTCCGATCCGGTTCGGACAGGACCAAAATATCTGATCAAGTGAACTGTATGGATTTAAAATTAAACTAAAATAAAATAAATTATAAAATTTAAAAAACACTCACCTCCGGTGACGATAGGCTACCTCAACTGAGGTAAAAGGGGATGCAAGGAGGAATATAGTCGGAAAAGACAGGAAAAGTGGCGGGTTTTTTTTTCCGAAATCTTAAGTCCGTGGGCACTTCAACAACCCTGTCGATCTGTCCCTCGGTGGAGGGAAAATCCCCTTTCAGAAGGCCATCGCATATGTCCGCCGCCCACAGGACCTTCTCAGTTTCACCAGGTGAGCGTATACTAAGCACAGGGCTCCTGAACTTGAGGAGCTCGAAGTGACGAGGCACTTTCGGGAAAATCGTCACGTATGGGGAAAATGCCACAACCACGTGCAGTGAGTGCAATGGCCTCCCTCGTAAGCTCGCCCGCACTGCTAAAATACCTACGGCCAGACTCTGCCGCCTCCGCCACGGGAACAGGTCCTTCCCCATCACCCCGGTCCAGAGAACCCTCTCCGGCGACCACGCAACTCTGTGCTCGCTCCATGACTTGAGCAGGGGTCTTGCCCGAGATGAACGCCGCTATGGTAGAGGTGTATCCTCGTGCAGGATAGTGGAGAGCCATCATCCTAAGGCTGTGCTCGGCGGACCGTTCACACCATGGGGATTACACTCGCCGGTATGGGGTCTCCCTATGATACGGCGGGGAGGTGGAGGGATTAAAAAAAAAAAAAACTCCCCGGAGGGAGCTATAGACCCCGCACCAGGACAACGAGGCGTATGGTAAGCAGCAGCATGGAAACTGTCGTTACCTTCTAGTTCTTTCTTCTTTTTCTCTCTGCACCTTAGCCTAAAAAAGGCTTTATCAGATATTTTTCTTTGTGCTTTAGCTTCGCATAGAGGTCATTTTCCAATCTCACCGGATCTTTGTCACGTAAATATAGGTGTCCGGGATGGACCGCTTAGAGGTGTCCGGTTTGTGCAATGAGAAAGGAAACCTTTTGTTCGTTTGCTCTTTCTCATTTTGTTCTGCCTCTCCTGATCTTTTCAGTCATTTTCATATATCTTATCTTACGAGGCTGTGATGTAAGTAAGGAAATGTCAGGCAAAATTATTAAATTGTGCACAAATAAATAATTGATTCAACAAATAAATAAAATTAACAAGTAATTAAACAAGTAAATACTTCAACAATTAAAAAATTCAACATGTGCCTGTCCTGGAAAACTGTCGTAACCGGCCCGCAGTT